ACTTTTCTAAAAGGAAAAAAGTACAATAGTATAAATATAATACAGCAAAAAAAATATCAATATATTCCATAAAAACTGGGTAACATATACAGATATTATGCATTATTAGTTTAAAATATGTGTAAAATAATCTCAGTTAGCATATTATGAAGTATATTGAGGTAATATGTTATGCAATTTCATTAAATAAAGTATCATAATTTTACATGACTATATCAAGAATTCTATCCCTGGTTGCATGACATAATCAGTAATAAAAGCACGCTAGCTCCTTTTAACGTTCAGTGCAAGCGTAATTTCGAAAATAATCATAATTGAAACGTAATATCTAAGTTTCTAGTTTTGATATTTTGTTATTATTTATAAAATGTAGTAGTAAATGTTGAAGGTATCATTATGCCCTTATTTGAATCGATCGTGAATGACGTAGGTATGCATAAAAACGTATCTGATTGACAAATCTAATATGTACACAAATAAATGTCACATATATATGCTTCATATATAAACACACATTATAGTAATGTACGTATACAACCTATACGATACGTACGTTTACATATAAGTCTATCTACACCCACATATGTATTGGCTACACCTATTGGCCATAAAAAGTACTTACTTGAATGAATTGTATTGTGATCGCAGATTTTCCGACACCACCCGCGCCAACGACGACGAGTTTATATGTCTGCGCGTAGCTTTGTTTGTCACCGGGCTTCGACATTTTTCATATGATCAATCAAGTTGATAAATTTATGGAAAAAACTCAATGACACATATTGAAAACCGCTCGGCGAAATGTAGAAAAATACAAAATTGAGGCGCATTCACATGCAAGCACATAGGCGTTCTTGTTACGAGAACAGGCAATATACTGAGCACTGCATATTTCTTTACTGGTGCTATAGTTCACGACTTAGGCACAACGAAACATCATGAGTCTTCTGTAAACGCGAACTTACTACAACCGTGTAAGTCTAACGAATGGAGCGAGAAACACTAGAAGAAACATCCCCCACTTTGTATGTATAGCTGTACATATGCATGTGTACCATATCGTGCTATTTCGATTGATTGCGCAGTCGCTATTACAATGCCGCCCTCTCATGCGCCTATGCCTGTCTGAAGTATTTTATAAAGTAAACGATTTCAAAATCGTTCAGTTTCTACATATGATAATTAGATGAAGAAATGACCGATTTTTAAAAATTACTTCACTTGACATTTAAAAAAAGAAATTTTTAAGTATAATTTTATATGAAAACATTTTACATTTAATATAACAATATTATATTCTTGAAGTATATACTATTATATTATTGTCAATGTGTATGATATTTAATAACTATGTTGATATTATCATTTTTTGTAATATACTTTAATAAACAGAAAGAGTAAGAGCGAATTATTGCAAAAGTTAGTTTATAATAATTGTCTAT